AGATATTGTCCAAGATTAACCTTCAGGGTGGATATAGCTCGCTCAGACCAATAACCTAGCCACGTCATCATTTACCCAGAATGCTTTGTGGGTAAATAAAATGGCTCTGTCTGTGTTAAAATATATTTATTTTTAATTTACAAAACTAAACAGCCTACGGTATTTTAARAGTCTTTATTTTACTGTTAAAATGTGTGTTTATCAAATAAAGTTTAATGTTACAACTAATCAGGGATCCCTTTCAGCTTAATAGTTTCCATCATCGTTGGTGTCTTACCAGTGGGTTCTCAGGTTGCCACTGTCCTTGATTATGGTTTATTTGGATTCCATGTCTTTCTGTTTTTTCCCATCACATGTGAGCACATGTAGAGCAGAGAGCTGCCATCTAAGGCAACAAATTTGATGGAAACACAAATGTAACCCATCATATTGAAACGAGGATTAAGTCCAAGAGTGGAATATGAAAAAATAGGCAGATATAGGGTATCGATTTAAACATGTGCAAAAATTGCATTTTGTCAAAATATAATGAATTAATGTCTTATCAATGTGTCATTTGAATGAACTGTCTGAAATATAATCCTAAAAAACATGTTTGAAGCATTTTTTGAGCAGTAGCAACAAAAAACCTGATTTTGAGGAAAAAATGCCTTAAAATTTAGAATTTTTCCCTGTGAGCTAGCAATGTTTTTGTTTCTTTCCAACTGGCAAATCTTAATATACAAATAATATTTGAGGTTTGCTCTTTATATTAAGTTCAAAAATAACTCAATAACTTTACATTAAATTAGGATTTAGACCAAACAGTACTGTATTATCATAACCAACAAGACAAATTAAGTCATTTCACTATAAGCTTATGGTATCAGGATGATTCAGGTATCAAAATGTAGCTTTAAAGACAGGAATCTGAAAATGTAGTTCAGTCATTTTGACCAAATTTGACTTAATCCTGATGTTGATATGATGGGTCACAAATGGTTGTTCAGAGCTCTGAGCTTGTGGAGGTCTTACTCCATATTAGCTCCTCCGTGTTTTTCTTTGTCGGATATGGATACAGCATTGTGACTATCTCCTCTGCCAGCATGCATTTTGCACAGAATGTAAAGAACAACAAATACTCAGTGGTGCCATCTTTGTTGTATCTGATTTGTCCCTCGGGCGAGTCCTTACCTGTCTTTAAGACCAGCAGGTGCAGTGCATCGTCTCTCAGGTAGGAGGCAGCAGCAATCTCATGTGTGGGGATCCTCATGAGCAGCTTCTCATTGTTCCTCCACGTCAGCAGCAGACAGCGAGCAGACATACTCAGGATGCAGTCCTGATCTACACTCGTTTTTAGCGGCAGCACCTTCAGCTGCTGTTCGTGACCACATGATGACACAGAAACTGAGACTCAGCTAACTATGTTCAACTTCTTGAAATATTGAACATTCARTTTGGCTTCTCTTTAACTCATAACATGACTCGTTAACACTGWACGGCTAATTGTACAAAAGTGACTCAATGTTGATCTCTGATGTGATAGAATTAGATGAATAAGTTATGTGAATGATGGTAATCATATAAAGGCAAAATATTCTTTATTACAGATTTGTTTCTTAGTTTTAGTTTTTAAGTATGCATAAAATAACATCCTTGATTACACTGACTATGATTAGTTAGACATAAATTATACATGAAAAGCACATTTTATTGATAACAAATTCAGAATATAAA